CGAGTTTTTGGATATTAGTTCTGATCAAGATGGCCATGTGGAAATGCTGCAAAACAGCAAACCGCATTGTCGAGCATACAACATTTCTGCAAATACCACGCATATTGTTATACCTAAGATTTATAAAAAAAGTGTCCATTACAGGTTACCTCTTTAAAAAGTGCTTTAATTGGATATTTAGCTACCGAACTTCTGTGCATATTAACAAGGTTACGTCACAGGGAAATTGGACACTTTTGAGAATTTCTTTGATTTATCTGAAGATAAACGATTCAGTTTGACTGGAGATGAAAGAACATACTTTTCTCTTTATAACGGATTATTATTCCCTTAAGGGGATTAATTCCACTATCCGTTATAAATTTGCGATTGCAAAAAAACAGGCCACATGTATGACCATGTTTGAAGTTTTATTATTTTTCTGTCTGTTCCGTTTCTTAATAAGATATAAGCTGAACGTCTAGTTTACAAAAAAGTATATTTCTACCGGACTTACCTTTAATAAGGCCTCCTTCAGATCACCTTCACGTAACTTATATAGCAAAGTTTGCTTATGCACTTATAGATATCGGTGAAGTAAAACAATTTTGTCCTACAAACTTATTACTCACTTTATGACACAAAACTTAACAGAATAGAAAAATGTCACCTTTAAAAATTAAATTGTTTCTTGTTTCTGAAAATAAATGCGATTTCTTAAATTTGGCTTCACTTCCATTTTATCAACTTCGTACAAAATTTTCCAATTCTGGAAGAGAGTATTGTTCCACTTTTTTTTACTTATTCTGGAATTCTTTCACAGCACAATGTATATTATTAAAAACTTTGGTTCCGTCTTTCCTTATAGCATAAAAAATTTGTTCTATGTAAACTTACTCATAGCTTAACCAAAATCAGTGCCTATTTCGCTCCATAACTTTAAAAAAGATGGCAGTCTTCCAAACTAAAGCATTGCTAATTATCAAATCCACTTAGTTGATAACAATAACCCGTCCAACTATATGCCAAACTACCAAGTTAAATTTCGTCATGAAAGTTGTCTGCAGGACTTGCAGGACCATATGTATGTATCAGTTTACTATCGATCAAATTCCTGTCGGCTGAGATCACACATATTAACCTTTGCGGAAGCGAAATACGGTGATTTATCAGAACTTTACTTAATCAGCAAAGTAAAATGTTCATTCTTGTTAGAAGAATTTAATATGCTGTGTATTACTGGCTAACGACGCCTATTAAGCCATAAATGGCCATTTTAGTCTCTAGTGTCTTCGCTGGCATGACTATTTGCCTAGGTTACTATGCGTCCACTCCATGCTGTTGTTCGGGACTTTTCTACCGTACACTGCTTTTTCGAAGTTTTTGCTTGATAGATACAATCAGTCAGCCTTAAAATTTTTTGTGTTAGATAAAAAGAGTTAGCGTCAAACAAACACCCATCTCATTGTTGAACGTTCACCCGACCTCTAATGGAACTCATATATCTCTTGCTGCCTAGGGTCCCGACAGAGGCCTTGACAGTCGAAGCACCTGGTAGTGCCAGCGGATAGTATCCCCAGCAAAGACAAGGGAGACTGAAATGGCCATCTCTGGCTTATTAGCCGTCGTCAGCCAGTCGTCCTCAGACCCAAGTGGCGTATCATTGTAGCCTCCAACTCGTGACCTCGTTGATCAGAGTCAAACGCTCGATCTTTGAGTTCTCCAGAAACATTACCTGTATAGGTTCACCTACGCTCCTCAGATTTATGAGGAGGCTCTCAGTGACATGTCGTGTTTCAATTAACTAACAGTCTATCAGAGATTTTAAATGGAGTAATATTTGTGTTCTGTTCGTGAGATTTTCCCTTTGAGAGCTTTCAGGGATATTTCGGATCACGTATCTTTATGGCTATTGACAAATGGTTACTCGAGTAATCATTAGAAATCAGTAAGACATATATTACGACTGGGATGGTCTTATACTCTTGTATCCTTTGATATTTCTTCCATTAAATGATCGACTGCCTAAAATCTGTCATCAAATCCCTTATCCCCTCCTTATATTTAAATTCTTTTTACTAACATGTGCAAAGCTGTTTACCTTTGAGTACTTATGTTTGCAATGTATAGACGCCTGCATTTTACCTCTCATTGTGAATAAGGCTCCTTTATATTTTTTCAGTTTTTCTCAGATGATACATGTTCATTTCAGGGCAGGTTCTTTGCATGCTTTCATTTGTCGCCAGAATTTTTTAGTTATCGTCCGTTAAAAAAACATAATTTCACAAGGTTTAAATTATTTTTTATCAAATTCTCGATGATGCTGTTCATATCTTTCATCTCGAATTCATTGCTGTTTTGTCTTTCCCTGTTTGTTATAGTTTCCAATACATACCTTGTCACATATCGATATATTAACGATCCCTAGTGACATTTTACCCTACAGTTTCGTATCCCAATGGACGCGTATGGGAAATCAAAGTGAAAGCCATAACTGTGATTAGTGCAATGCGCTTGAAAATTCATGAAGAATAGACAAAATACACACCTCAATAATGGGTATCCATACTCAAAAAAAGGACCGGGCCAAAGTTAACCCCTTACGCTTAAGAATAAAGAGGTTTATTCGTTATCGTGGGTCCTATAGCATGGCCTAGAATTCGTGTAACGTGCCGACATATACGAAAGCTTGATACTCTTTCGCTAATTGGCATTGAGGTAGGCTATAATATTGATTATCATGTAGTCTATTCTGAAGTCATTTCAGTCACGATAGGCTGCCGACTTTTTACCTAGCTTTTTCATGACTGCTAGCAAAACGTATGTACTGTAATAAGTGGCTTCTAAATTAATATGCATTTTTATGATTGATTTTGATATAATGGAAATAATATAATGAAAATTATATGGAAAACATGCACAAGAAAATTATTTTTTGTACTTGTTTGATAGGAAATTACGCTTTACATCATAAAAAAGATCATAATTAGACAGTCCTTTAAAACCAAAAGATACCTTTTCCTTAAGTATAAAATTTAAAGTAGGCGTAATTTGTTATCACTTAGTACAAGACATAATTTTTTCGTTTATATTTTCCATAAAATACATTTGAGTTTAGAAAGACAATGAAAACCAAGGATAAAAATGCAAACTCATTTAGCAGCTACTTTTTATATTACATGCATTTTTTTAGCGGTCAGGAAGAAGCTCGTCAGAAACCTGGCAGCCTATTTTAACTGCAATTAATTCAGAATAGACTACACGATAATCAATACTACAATCTTACTCAACGCCGATTAGTGGAAGATTACCAGTCCTTCGCATATGTCGGTATATTACACGAAGTCTTGGCCATAGTATATATATGCACAGGGATGACCGGCAGTTTCAAGACAATGGTCGAGCTAAATAAACAAACAGGTCCAGTTTAGGTGGGCAAGGAAAAAACAAAGAAGGCATTGGACTACATCTATTCAAGTCAAATAGAAGTCTACGGGATAAAGATTTGGAGAATTTTCAAACCTGTTCGATTGAAAATAATAAATTTCCCTGCACGATATTCGACGTGTTAAGAAAATGGTCTTTACAAAACTAAGATCTGAGCCCTTCCCA